GATGGGATTTCTCGACTGCTGTCACATTGGCAAAAGTGTGCTGATTCGAATGGTGCCTATTTCGATTAAATCCGATGAGTATTAAAAAAGTTACGATCGTTTAAAGTGAAACACCCAAAACGCTGAGAACTTTCCGGACAACCTAATATAATAGTATCGATTTAGTGACCAACAGCGTCCACTAGTGGGAAGTTGGGGAGAAAGGAGGGTATCAGGAAGTTGGTAGAGTGTATCAGCAACATCGCTAGATCGATGTCATTCTTATGTCATTCTTACACATTCTTATTCGCTGACGCTGACGGACGCTCGAAAAGCTGTTGGTCGCTGGTGGACGCTGGTGGTCGCTCCCACGAAGGATGAATGCAGCCCAATGCGAGACCGCTCTCGTTACTGCCCACCGCTTAGAATACGCTTAGCTGAATAGGCAAAGCAGGCATTGTGACATCATCTCTATCCATGTCTTCAGCGTAATATTATTTACTTTTTGAGGCTCTTATGATAATGTCCGATGCAGCTGAACATCGTATTCGCGGAATTATCGAGAACCTGGTTACATTTGTAGGACGTGACCAGAACGAGTGAGTTGCAAGGGATTTTCAAAATTGACAGATGAAAAAAACAATGGATATAGAGCGCCATTTAGGGGTCCCTCGTGTTCGGATGAGAGCGTGAGGTTGAATTGGCCCCATACGTAAAACCCCTTCAACATCTACGCATTCAATATTCTACAATTTTCACGATTATCTGATGGGTGGAATACATTTTGCGTTCAAAGTGATGAGATTTCATTCCATTCCGTCCATTCTCGTACCCGAGGGTATTGTCACCTCAAGACAGTGGGCACGATCGTAGGGGCAGGTGATTGTTGCCAGTGTCCTTGGTGGTTGGACTGCGAGAGGGCGTTTGGCTCTTCCACCGATGACATCGGCGACAACCGACCGCCCTCAGCAATCGTGCCCACTACCTTTCACTCTGTCAGGGTGTTATTTAAGCTGTACCCATTACGTAGATGTCAGTCTCGTCTGGTCTCTCGCCTGTTCCTTGAGCTTCTCTGTCTTGTTCCCCACTTCATGATCGTTCACTGTTGTGGAACAGTGGGGGCCTCTAGGGCTTTTTCGACGGGCACTTCTTTTCCCTTCGTTGTTATAAGCAGTGGCGAGTAAGATACCACTCACAGAGGAGAAATGCGCAAGTACTTGAGACCTACATATTACCCACAGTCTGCATTCGTGGATGTCCCTGAGTCGTACAGGATAATCTGTGACCTTAGGCACTCGAAGATGAGTTCTTGAAAAGGAAACGTTCCCTTCCTATTACTAGCTGGTCCATACAATACGTTGCAGATCCAGTACAGTTGATACTTTCATGTTTTCCAGCTGCACACGGGTACGTCAAGCTTCCCCCATAGTTGGTATAAGCGCTGCTCGGTACTCGCGTTAATTGTATGACTGTCATCGCTTCGGGCGCCGCTTTCACAAATGAGCCTACTAATTGCTGAGAAACATTGCTCACAGTTTGCAAGTGGAAAAAGGTTGGGCACGGTTACCTGAGTAGGAAATTTCACTGATTTTTCACCATTTCTATCCTGCTTCTCTTAACACGGACTTCTCCCATTGTTCTTCTGGATGATGACCTGTTGGCAGCAGAAACCTAGGAGCGTCCTACGTTTTAGACTTGCCGCTGTAAACGAAGAAGAATACGCCCGTTTGATTCAAAAGAGCGCTGAAAAGCACGAGAAGCCAGACGAGTTGGATGGTAACACACACGATGACGATAACCTAAATGGTGATAAGAATGACGAGCCACATTGTGACAAGACAGAGAAAATGGAAGTCAGCCCACACCATGACGATAGCCCAAATGGTGGCGATAAGAGTGACGAGCCACACTGTGACGAGACAGAACAAAAGGAAAGTAGAGGTTGGTAAATATGAAGTAAGACTATGTGTCTTTTTTGCTATGATAACATCTTCATAAATATTGCTTTTCAGGAAATGCCAACTTCTAGCGACCAAGCAGTATCAGTTGAAGATGTCAACGCTTCGCCAAACACTCATGGGACTGAGGCTCAGAAAGAAAATTTCTGTATCGAAACGAAAAATAACGCGTAGATATTTTTTGGAACTAGTAAAGTAGCACACTTCAAAGGGCTAGCACCAGGGGAAAGGCACGTCGTACGGTGGGGTTACCCAGCGAAAGAAGTCCCATTCGCTTTTGTTTCTCGGGTTTTCCCGTCTCGTGTGCGCTGCACCTCCTCCCCCTCCCCCCTCACCCTTCCGCTTAACTGCACTTATTAGGGAGAAATGAGAGTATCTAGGGAGTTGGGGAAGGGAGGGGGGGGTCACATTTTGCGAAAGTTTTCCCTCAACTCTCTCTCTCCTAGGCTCAGTCTTTGTCCAAACAATCCAAGACAGTACCTCTCCACAGCAATGATGTAGTAGTGTTCTCTATTATCCTCTCATAGTTAATGTAACGTAAATAGTTACTGTCGGATAACCTCTGCACGAAGAGCGCAAACTGTCACATCAACAGGTGTTGCACAAGTGTCAGTACAGTTCTTGCGCGAAGAGGAGTTTGTGATTGATTTCCTATGGTCACCAATCATGTCCCCTCCACAAGCAGTCACCACAGCTGGACTCTTCCCTGAGGAAACTTTGCACAATAGATGCTCCTCCTCAATCTATGAAATGGGATCCTATTATCGATTAACCTACAAAAGTCAACGACAGGACTGGAACCTTTCAATTCGTTTTTCTAAGCACCTGAAGTAAGCTCTATTTTTTGTGCTACTTCCAGTTCTTTATTGTTCCAGGCCCATTCCTGAAGGCACGAAGAGGGTTAAACGCAATCGCATAACGATGGAAAGCTTGCACGTTTTTCTGCGTGAAGATCCGCTATTCAAAGGGTGAGCTCTTCACTTTTTCTAGGATTTCAAATATTTCTTCTCCCTTACTTCTTAGCCTTAGTACCGCCTATGGGCACTTACTGAAGAGGCCTATGAACCACCTGATAAAGAAGCTTCGAAGAACAGCGCTAGCGACCATGAGGAGCTCCAAAGAAAAGGTACAGGGACGCTATCAATAAGGACCTCACTAGAGTGAATGCCATGGCACAGGATGCATTGGATTGGATTGCCCGGAATATCTTGCCCTTGAAGACAGCTCCCGCGATAAAAGTGTCAAGGATAATTGCTGATCAATTATGAAACAGTAGCTGATAAGTAATTCCTCAATGAAGGAAAAAAGCAACAAGAGCCCTCAAGAACACCACAAACAAAATTGCTCCCTTACAGTTACACCGCCCTGCGGTCCGTGGGCAACCCCTGGCTCAAATCGCTTTATGGCATTTCCCAGTAGTGGACAACATCCATTTCAAAGAAAACAATATGAAAAACAACAAAGACACGAACGAAAAACACTTGAAAAAAGGAAAAATTCAAAAACCTGGCGTCCGAATTTGGGGTTACGTGCAGTGTGCAGCTTTTGGTGCATGTCGAGCTTTTGCACCACAGAAATTGCATCATTCGTGATTTTTACGCGTTTTACCTTACGAGATGGGTTGCAGTTGACTGTATGTGCTCCCGATAAATAAAATATTAGGTTGTTCGAAAAGTCCTGCGACACTTTGATTGAATTGTTCTAGAAAAAGACCAAAAATCATTTTGGATGTTTTTATCCCTGATTAGTGGAGACTGTCCTCTGGGGTTTCTGCACATGGGTATATCATGACTTTGAGGAAGTTTTCAAAGCTTAAGTCCCCCAGAGATCGAGGTACTTTTCGACCTGTCCCATATTATGAGTTCCTGTAGGGCCACTTCGCCGTAGTCAAGGAAGCTGACACCTACGTTGTCTTGAGGAAGGATATCGCTTGCCATGGCAGAGGGTAGCTTTTGCATCAGCGCTTCCAGGCTGGACTTATTTAACTCGTAGTTGGGCAATGTATAGGTCGCCCATCAGCACAGAATGACGGCCCTTTACTCAAGCTTCTTGAGGCGCAGCCGAACGTAACCACCGGTAAGTTGGCGACCTCTCTAGGCTCCATCTGACTGACAACTGCCATGCTTCTCCGCAATCTCGGTTATCGGAAAAATTTTTTGTGAAGGATGCCTCATGAGTTGGACCCGTCTGACAAGTCATACCGAATGACCGTGACTGAGTTTTCTTTTCCTTGTACACAGCGTAAGAACTTTTGTGAGATCTTGTGGTTGGTAGCGAGTGGTGGAGTCCTTGCGTACATCATGCACATGTCCCTTGCAGGATCTCTCAAACAGAAAAGTAGATTGCTTAGCCAAAAGAAGATGTGCATGGGATAAAGATTTCAGTGTGTTATTGGTGGGACTTCAAAGCGGTATCACTGGATACCAGCACCGTTGTAAGGACCACAGTCCACCTTAATCGACTTCAAAATATGGATGACGTCACGCTTGAATTCATTCAGAAATACTCAATTTTTCTCTACTACTCGGTAATGCGAGGACCGCTGTGGGGATCAGGCTACGCCAAAAGATCATGCATTTCGATCAGAGAATGCGACCGTACTCAGGTTATTTAACAAAGTTAGCAGCCTCTAATTACCACCTCCTTTGGTCACTATCGCATCCTTCAAAAGCAAAAGTTCCGAAAATCAACCTCAACTCGAGAATGAGGTCCACCTCTTCTTTTTACCACAGTTGCCGTAGTTCTATGAGAATGGAAATGAGAAGCTGTGCAAAAGAAAGGCACTAGTCCTAGTCATCAACTGCGGTTACCTTGTAGATTGGAGATGTCCTTTACTGACCAGAAATTTAGTTCGAAAAATTTGGTCAAAGTGTCGCAGGACTTTTCGAACAACCTAATATGATGAAGGAGAGCAGAACTATTTATGGGCACAAGCGCGGTCAGCAAAAATACATGCAGTCCCGATTAATGCCCGCCGCCCAACAAAGAACAACTGAGCGCCGCCAGAGGGCAGCTAGCAAGTGGGGCGGTCCAACTGAGCGGGCGTTAGAACTAGAACTTTGAGCGGTTGTAGCTCGCTCCTCGCTCACTGTGGAGTCGCGAGAGTGGGATAGTATCTAGCTTGGGGGCTGAACTACCTGCACAAGGAAGGACGACCATGTACTACTTGAGCGCGAGGGCTGTCTTTAAGCCACCAGGAGCATCGCCGGTCGGAGCATTCCGGAATACACCTTCCACTTGATCCGAGGTGCTGAAAATCCTCGAGCCTCCCGATGTTTTTGCTGTGACGGTCTGAGATGGGTTCTGTGCACCGTTCGAAGCTCAGAAAGCTGGTCCTCTTTATGTTAAGCCGAAGTCTATTCTCAGCAAGTACCTCCTGCCTCCTTTGCACTCTGCTCTAGAGATTCCCTTGGTATCCGCTCTCAGGACTGTCTTCAAGCGTAGAGGATGATCTTCACTCCCCCTCCCCTGCTCTCCTTACGAGTTCGTTCGCCATGGCGTCCAGAATTGAAAGGAACGAGCCCAGGGCTGGTCCTCGAAGTACCCCAACCGTGATACTGAGCCTCTGGGTGTGGAGAGTTACTTCAATGCTGTGGCGACCTGCAAAACCAGGAAGTACTGACAGTCATCATCGCAGGGCCTGAGGTGGGCGCGTTCACGGACATACCTCCACAACTCTAAGACGCTATAGGCGCAGCTTCGTGCTTCATCTGAGCATAATGCTGGGTAGGTTACTCGTGGAAAATTTCAGCCTGAGACGTCATCTTGTCTTTTATTGGAGCAAGGGATGACAACATTTGTCTTTCGGTGAAGATATCTCACCAAGAGCGCAGCCGTTGCCACATATGAATAAAGTGCACAGCCACGCCTACCCCATCTCAGAGATTTGGATTATAGTTGTGAGCACGGCGGCTGTGTGTCGGTTCTCTCTTGTATTGGGTCATTGCGCCTTTCTCATAGTTGGGCTTGTCCTTTTCGTTATCTCAACGAAAGGAGCACATCAAAAAAAGGCGCATCCCTAATAACTCCGCCCATACGATCATCTTGAAATATGTCTGAACATCATGTCAACAATGGAACACTTTTTCAGGACAAAGGTTCGCTTGAACTTCGCTGCCGGATATCTTCCGTCGCATGAATAACGTAAAGTGTGCATGCTGTGAATGCGTTTTGTTTGTTTCCGGTTCTCATTTTGGTTGTTTCTCGTGATCGATGGCTTGCATACGCCATATTTGTTAATCATTCTCTCAGCTACAAAAAATTAGTTTTATGAATTTTATTAAGGAGATAAATTTTGTTGGCAGGTCAAACTGCCGATGAGGTGTTAAGTAATTATCACTGTAGAAGAATTCTCCAGCATTTACCGGGCTTTTTTTGCAGCTCCAATTTTTGGAAATGTATAGTGATTCTTGCTAAGTATGTATAATTAGGTCGTTGGAAAGTGAAATAACAATAACATTCCGTTGGGAAATAAATAGCGATAAATCGGATCGCAGTTGAACCATCTGAACAGTAGACCTTCTCTTGTTCCACAGTCCAAGTCCATCTTCTGCCCATGGATTCTTCGCGGGACATTTGATGAGTGTACATAAACTGCATTGTTATTGTTCAATCGCAGTAAAGGAACGAAGCAGACAAAGCTGTCGAGAACATCTCAGATGAGACCATCCTGATCTCCACCTAATGATGTGAATGAGTGGCGAAAGACACTGGGAGTGTAGGAGAGATGACAAAGACATGGGACGAAAGAAGAAAGTGGATGAGACCGCAGATGAGATAAGGATCCTACTCTGGTTCAAGGTCGCCAATTGATGGGTGAGTTACATTAGCGAGTGACTTTCTCACCGCTCCCATCACACCCTCAAAAGTGGCACACCTTGTGCGATTGCACATCTAGTCCTTTTTGGTGTACAAGGAAGATTCTACGGAACAGGTTATCGCGATATTTCCCTTCAGGTCATATAACATCAGCGAGCGTTTCATAATATGTGCACCAGTTGGAAAAAAAGTGCTCAGCACGAAAAACCTTGTTTCTGTTCTCAGAGGACCTATCAATGGTACTTCTGGAAGA